GAGGGGGAAATAAGATACTTCCAAGACAAAGAACACCTGAGAAACTACATGAATACCAAACCAGCACTACAAGCAATTCTAAACAAGATCCTAGAAAAAGACAATGAAGGTAACAACACCATGAGGCCCAACAGAACAAATCAAATAGGCAAGGCAAGAAACTAAAAGGAGGTGAAAAAGTAAAAATAGTCAACAAAAGGCCATAACAGGACAATAAGAAGTCAGTACATTCAGTTATAACCATCAATGTCAATCAATGGCCTCAACTCACCAATCAAGAGAAACAGACTGGCAAAATTGAATAAGAAGCAAAATCCAACAATATGTTGTATAAAAGAAACACACCTAGTGCAAAAAGAAGCCCATAGACTGAAAGTGAAAGGATGGAAAACAATTCTCCGTGTGACAGGAGCCCAGAAAAACACAGGGGTAGCAATCTTATTTGCAGACAAAGTAAATTTCAAACCAAAACTGATTCTAGTATTATAGATGCAGGACAGTACTGTATCATATCTCTGTGAATGTAAAACATCTTGTACCTGCTTTATGATATGTAGTAGTGACCATGCTTTATCAGAGCTATTTTTAATGATGTTACTCTAGAATGTTCTCTCCAGATGACGATTAAGATGCTAATAAAAAAAAAATGGTGCCAGGTACCACAACAGCAACAGAACTTTGCTGTTTTCTGGATATTATTCTTTTCTTAGTTTTTTTGTTTTTGTTTTTTTAATGGAGTGTGCTGAATGTCTTTAATTTTGTTCAGATGACTGCAGAACTTGGAAAAGCTGTTGCTGCTACTGATGCATAACATACTGCTATTATTGGTCTTTTTATATAAATATGAATATATATATATACATACATATATATATAATTTGAACTTTTGGAAACTTTAACTGTGCTGTCAACTTTGGAAAAAGTTATCTCAATTTACTGTGTTGAGTTGGCATTGTACAGAAATTAACAGTCATATTGGTCTAGAAATGTTAATTTTTTTTTCCATTTCTACAGGGGTAATGCACTGTATTAAATATGTAAGGTCATATCTATGTGGGTTTGATTACAGAAACTAATATTCTCCAAATAATGAAAAAAAGAGAATAATATAAGACTTACAAGAGCAAGAAGCAACTTAAATATGTTAAGGGACCATTTTCATCTTCAGAATTAAGGATTATTTTAATCTTACATCATTGCCTTTTCTCTTTTACTTTCCTTTTTAGTTTTATTTTAGGATGTCCTATTTTTAATGTTCATATAGAGATTTCTTTAAATGAAATACCGAATAGTTTTGCTGGTGTGAAAAAGTATAATAGCACACAAGATCCTAATGAGATAATTAATAATGTGAAATAGAAAGTAAAGGGCTAAAGGTGTAGGAAAAGTGGGAAGGGTGGGGGAAAGGTAATAAGGGAGAGGGAAAAAATATGAGAAAATGAAAAAATGGAAATAAAGTGGTTGTAAATGGGGAAGGGAGGAGGGGGTGAAGGGAGGGCAGGGACAAGGGGAAATAATGAGAATGAAGACCTATTATGTAAAGGTACAGGATCCCAATAATGAATGTAATTGTATTGTATGCATAGATTGTACCAATAAACTCAATAAAAATTTAAAAAATAAAAAATAAAGATAAAAAAAAACATCTCTTGTGGTGGGGAAAACTAGGGAGGGAAAACATAATAGCTTGGAGATTACTGTCAACATCATCTCTGGGTCAAGATTAATCTACCTCAGTTTAGACAACAGATAAATTCAATTTTCAGTCATCTAAAATAAACATTCCCTTCTTTACTTGATTCTAGTGCTAATAAAGAATTGCCAATAAATATATGAAGAAATACTCAGCACCTTTAGCCATTAGGGAAATTCAAATAAAAATCACATTGTGGTTTTGTCTCACCCCAGATAAACTATTATCAAACAAAACAAAACAAATGCTGGAAAGGATGTAGAGAAAAAGAGCCCTTATACAGTCTTGCTAGGAGTGTAAATTCAGATAGCCACTATGAAAATCAATGCGGCATTTTCTCAAAATAATGCAAGAAGAACAATCCAGCTATACCACTCCTGAGTAATGCCTCTGAAAGAAATGAGATCAGTATACAGAACATAAACCTTCATGTGCATGTTTACTGCAGCATTATTCATAATAGCTAAGATGTCATCAATTTAGATGCCTGTCAGCAGATGAATGGATAAAGCAAATATGGTATGGATACCATATGGCATATTATTCACTCATAAATAAGAGTAAAAGTATGTCATTTGTAGGAAAATTAAAAGAATGGAAGTGATCATGTTAAGCAAAATAAGCCTGACTAAGGAAGATAAGCATTCCATGTTTTTCTCTCATATGTGAAAAAGATGGAGAGGAAAAGGAAGAGGGGGAGGAGGAAGATGGGAGGTGAGAGGGAGGAAAAGGAGGAGTAAGAGGTGGAGGAGGAGATGACAACCAATACCTACTTGAAATTAGAAAGATCCGATTAGGGAAGGCAAGAGGCATTGGAGGAGAGGGGAGGAAGAGATGAAAAAATAAGAGAAAGGCTGACAGTGACCAGTGCACAATAAATGCGTGGGTGTGAATACCACTGTGAATCCCATCAATTCACACAATTCACATACAGTAATGACTGCAACTGTTTAAATTGCTCTCTCAACAATATTAATTATTCTACTATATATGGATTCTGGTAGAGTTATATATAGCTTTTTTATGTGTGTGAACTGGGGATCGAACTCAAGACCTTGCGCTGGCGAGGCAGGCACAGAGCCACTGAGCTAAATCCCTGGCCTTGAGTTATATATATCTTGATAAACCCCTCATAAATTGAAAACACTGAAAGTTGAAAATGCATTTAATATCCCTGACTGTCAAACATCGGTGTTGCCACACAGCTGCTACAGAGTATAGCGGTTTCCCCTCATGATCATGATCATGTGGCTCACTGTGCTAGCCAACCTGACTCCATTGTGTAAAGTCAAGTCATAGTGGGTGGTCGCTTTCCCCTTCCCCCTCGGGAGTCCCCTCCGTCAATGCATGACAGAAGGCCATAACCTGTGTGAGTCTGCAAATATGCTATCTTTACTGCCTTGGAAAGAGAAGCCCTATGTGACACTTTGCTTTAATAAAACTATGTGAAACTGTCCTGACCCCCACTGACAGCAAAGTTCTGTTCCTGTGAAGTCCCACTCATGTACCCACTCTTCTTGAGCGCTCCCCAAACAGAAGAGCCCTTAAAAGAGCTTCTCCTTTGTCAAGAATTTTTGGCATGAGCCAAAATTCTCGATCAGCCAGTTTACAACAAAGGACTCCATTCCACTCAGAATGTGGTGCCTCTCTACAGTTCCAACCGGCCTGGCCCTACGACATGACTGGGAGCTGCACACTGCTGCTGAGCCCAGCGTGCTGAAAGGGTAGCCTGGCACACACTGTGAGCCCAAGGTCAAAATGCAAAGTTCTACTGAAAGTGTGTTGCTTTGGCACCACAGCAAAATTTTTAAATTTTAACTTGAACCATGCAAAGTCGGGGCCTTCTGTTTATCAACTAAGGTATGAGTTCCTTCTAAAAGGCTAAATATTTGTGGGTTTTCTTTTCATTTTGTCCATGACCAATATAAAAAGATTCGCTTCTTTTTTCTAATTAATACTTTATTGGTACATGTTTGTGATTATATTGGCTATTTATTTATTTATTTTTGGTTTTTTTGGTTTTTGAGACAGGGTCTCACTGTGTAGTTGAGACTGACCTCTAGCCCAGGCTGGTCTCAAACTCACAGCAATTCTCCTGCCTCAGCCTCCTGAGTGCTGGGATTACAGGCATATGCTACCAAGCCTGGCTTATTTGCTTCTTTTTTAAAGAATTCCTTTAGATGATTATTATGTATATCCTGTCATTTATTTTAAGAATTCAGGAAAATCAGCCTAACATTTGGGCCGGAAGTAAAAACTGAGACTATTTTTCAGTCTGGTTTTTCTTACAACCTCTTTATCTTCTCATATTTAAACACTAGAGAATCAAAACATTAATCAAAATGTCCTGGAAAAATCAGAACTGTCTAAACAAAGTCAGAACATAAACTAGATGGGTTACTCAAGCATTTTCTAAACTTGCTAATCAGTGTGCCTTGAATATTCAGTCCAAGGGCCAATTTTAGAAGTAGTAGGAGATAACTGCTTTTCTTTATATTCTCAGCTTACTCTGGCACTGATGAGCACCTTGCCCTCAGATGTGCAACCAATAAGAACATTTCTGTATTACCTTAATGCCCTCAATGTTTTTGAAGTATAGTGATCAAAATTCTAGTCTGTGGGACATAAAATACCATAAGAATTAAGGAATACAGTATCTAAAACAACTCAAAGCCCCCCAATCAGAGGATGATGTACACAACACCTGTGTGACTTGTTGTGCACTGGCTTTGTGCTAAATTTAAGTAGTTAAAGTCATGTTATACATTGTAACCTATTCATCATGAGGGGAACATTAATTTGAAACAAGTGGATTTCAACCTTCAAAAGAAGGACAAAATTGCCAAAAACAACAAGAGGTGACCTCTACATCAAGGTCATGTAGAAAATTTAAAATAGACTGAAGGCACTGGGAATGGCCTTGGGGCTCTTGCAAATGATAACCTAAAAAGGGACTAAAAACAATCTCTCTACATTTGGTCACTGTTTGTATTCCATTGTTCCCAAATGCTTTTTCTTACAATCAGTAAGACATCTTACAATCATCTGACTGTCATTTTTTTCAGACAATATTTATTTACATTCACTTTTTGTCTTTGTTTAGAATCTCAACTTCAAATAATTGCAACGAATTACTCCACCAGGTAGAAAACAAACCTAAAACCTTCAACAATAAGCCTGGGGTTTATCTTCCTACCAGCTCCATACCTGTTTTTGAATAGATAGCTCAATTTATTTTTATTTATTTTTATGAGTTTTCAGACTGTTTCCTTTAACAGCCAGTTAAGTGTCTAGATAATTAACTTACCAGGGCTTATGCCACATCCATCATCTAGGAAGCACAACGTGAATCCACCCTGCAGTTTTTCATTATCCACTGTAAGAGAAAGCAGTTATTACTAATAAATATTGGGCTTAATTTGTTCGTCAGAAAGTCATGCTGCTCACATAATTACTCGTCCTCCTCAATTGCAGCCACGGAGTGACAGTTTTGGCACAGTGACAGAGTTCAGGATGGAGTCTTGGCTACAGCTTCATAAAAAAATTTAAAAAAAAAACTGCAGGGAAAAAACAATCATACAACAAAAAGGCTTTAAATTAACATAAAACATCCACATGTTAATAAACTATGTAAACAGCAGGACACACCCTGCTCTAAAATTGAACTGGGCCCTTAAACTTCAGGAATTTCTACCCTAGGGAAGGAAAAAAGTAGTTGGTGATGTAACCCCAGGATCCCTCTATCACACTGATTAACCTTTTTATGTTTCTCCACCAAAGCACTAATTCTAAAATAAACCTAAGCCATTCTTACCAAATTCACCAGATTCCCTCCTATGTAAGTAGTCAATTCCTATAAGAACCTTTTGTGAGTGTTTTTTTGTGGCAGGGAATATTTGCTTTTTGAAGATGTACTTGATTTTTGAAAATGGCTGTTATTTGAAATTAGTTTTGATGATTAAGAGATACCTTAAATTACATAATATCATCTGTGGTTTTAACAACTGTTAGTGATGTAACTAAAACTAATGAGGTTAATTTTAGTGGACTGTTTGTAAATTGATTCTGAAAATACTTTCAGGGGTTGGATTGTGAGTTACAGAATATTTTTTTAGGTTTACCACAGAAATATTTATGCATAATAAACTGCATGTTTATATAATATGATAAATTTGGATACATACACACATATATACCCATCTATACACACAAACACATACATACTCATACACACACTCACACACACACACACACACACACACACATAAAACCATCACCACAATTAAAGGAGTGAACAATGCCATCAATTCAAGTGTTTCCTCCTGGCTGTCTGTAATCCCTCTCATCCTCCCTTCCTGGCCTCATCACCCACTTCATTCCCAGGCAATCACTGGTCTGCTTTGTGTCCTCATGAATTACTCCCTAGCACATTTAAGTCAATCATTACATTCAAAGGTCAACTAGAATTCACATTTACGAGTTAAAAAGTGTTCAAGATAGTGCATGAATAAATATCTAAAAGATATATGTAACTGTGTATTTTGTTTTCTGTTGCTGTAACAAAAGGCTTAAGGCTGGATAACTTGCGAAGAAAAGAAGTTTATTCATCCCACAATTCTGGAGGCTCAAGAGCTTCTGCTCACCTCTGGGGAAAGTCTCATGGTAGGTGCTACCACAGTGACAAGAGCACATTGCCAGCCAGAATACTACATGGTAAGACAGACAGCCAGAGACCCAAATGTCAGGTTCACTCTCCTACAGCAACCACTTTTACAAGAACTAACTCATTCTGTAGGACCGGCATGAATACCTTCTGAGAGGTCAGGGCCTCCAATGATCCAACTACCTCCCACTAAGCCTCATCTTTTAAAGGCTCCAACTCCTCTTAAAATTATGACACTGAGAACCAAGCTTCTAACATGAAATTTTAGGGGTAAACACATACAAACTATAGTGCTAATCTTTTGAAGGCTCTTACTTGGGGCTAGGGATTTGGCTCAGTGGTTCCGCTGCCTGCCTCAACAGCACAAGATCCCGAGTTCAATCCAAAGAAAAGGTCCTCCTTGTTATCCTGTGTTCATGCAGGATCGGGAACCAGTGATCTCAAACCAAGATCAACTTCTGGGCATCTCTCCACAGTAGCTACAGCTGATTTTGCACACTTCTCGGTATATTTGTCCTAAGGAAGGTGTGTGCATGAAAAAGAGCTGGCCTCCACGAACAGCTCAGAAAGACCAAGATTCCCAGCAGCTACATAACACACTGCCCCCCTTTTTAAAATTTTGTAACTCTACATCATGGATTGGAGGCAAACAAGTATGCTGTTTACAATAATAATTTTTAGTGCTCAGGAAAGGAACTCTCATCCCCAGCTGGTGTCCTGTCACATGACCCCAAGAACACAGTGTGTGGATTCTGATTACAGCTGCTGCACTTGGTGGTTCTAGATGAACTGCTTAGCCTCCCATCCATAGGAAGTGTGTTCCCCTTGCACTTGCCACTTGAGGAAAATCGATCTCCCTGTTATCTTTCATTTTGCTCTTTATTTGTAATTTTAGTATATCATTTAAGAAAAACACACAATTTAAAAAAAGAAAAAGCATGCAACATTTGAGTTTATGCATCTGATTTATTTCTCTTAACATTATGGTTTCAAGGTACATCCAGGATTTTCCCACAAACAACTCCAGTTTATTTTTATGGCAGAGTGGTCCTCTATTATATGTAAAATCCCATTTCTTTATCCACTCATCTTTTGATGGATACTGTCCATCTCTCTCCAATAGAACTCACGTTTCATGACAGTTTAAATTTAACATTTGACTTAGTGCTTCTTTCCCAACACCCAGAGTAACAGACACTCAATAAATTGTTGCTGAATACAAGAACAAATCTCTGAATTAGTCTAATTTAATTTTTTTCTCATAATAATTTTTGGATAATATTCTTTTTTCTAGATGACTTGACAAAAATTACATCCATAATTCAAAACCCATTTCTTTAATATGAAGCACAGTTTCCCCTTTACCTGTGTTCTTATCATACTTGGATCTTATCAGACTTATCGTACTCTACACACAAACAGACTGGGACTAACTTAATCCAGTTTCCACTTACAGTTTTTTCAACTTCCAAGGGGTTTACTGGTTATAACCCTACTGAGTTAAAGAGCATCTATCTGTAACTGGACAGAAAGGGAAGACCACTGTTTTTCCTCTAAAGAAGAATCAGAGTAGCAAATTTGTTTGCCATGAGAAACAGTTTTATTTTTAAAAGCTTATTAACTTAATGGACACTCATAATCAAATACACATCATTTCCAATTTATCACAATTTCAAAATGCCTAAGTGTTGATTCTGAGCTCCCTGATCTGACTACTTGCCAGGCTAAAAATAAACTGCTTAGACCCTTCCTTCATTTTGCTTTTGGGAGTAATCTGCCTGTGGCAAGCTTGACTTTCCTTCTTCTCCCAAGGAAGGAGACCAGTTTTGGGGGAAGCTGACGCTACCAGACTGTGAGCAGCCTGATCCTGGCATCTGGTCAGCAAGTCCATTTGCTGTCTCACAAACGCTCCACACTCTGACCTAATATTAGCGACAGAAGTTGATTCTTTGGTATATTTCTCAAACTTTTCAGAACCTAGAAAGTTGAGAGGGAAAAAGAGTGAAGTATGTCCTTTTCTCAGATGTCTCATGACATCCATGTCTATCTCCCCCAGGAACCACAAACACGCATCTGACTCAGCACCTTAAATGCTCAAAACAGTGAACTAAAAAACAAGAAATCTATTAACATCATGGACACTATCCTCTCACCTGTGAGCAACAACCTCGATTACAGAGCAGCAGACAGAATCAGGGAGGGAAGCAGTGCCTTCCACTAAGGGCAATTCTCTAGTAGCCGTAAACAGCACTGAAGCACAGAACCTAAAGTCAGCACCATCCCATTCGAATGAAATTAAGTAACAAGTGCAAATCAATATTTGGAGGCTACAAATGAAGTCAGTGAGGAAACATATTTGGCTTGAACTCTGTTGCCCTCAAACATTCATACTTCATGTTCACTTATTTAAAACTCTGATAGTTGGAAATGATGGGTGCTTAATAATGACTAAGCATCAAGTTAATAAGCTTGTTAAAAAAACTATTTCTCATGGGAAATAAATTCTCTGTATCACTTTGATACTTTCACAAACTCTAGAAAACCTTATTTTGTAAATGGGTCCTCTTATAAGTGAACAATTTGACTCTCAGGGTATACTTTTCTCAAACCGGCTCCCCATCGAGTAACTGTGTTCAGGAAGCATTTAGATAGCATTAAAAATCTTTAAAATGTGGTTTGATTTCATGAAGTAAAATAAAAGCAAAATAGCTACAGGCTTTCCATTAGAATTAAAAATGAAGAAAGGAAATCTGCTCACCTGAAAATACATCAAGTCTTGCAGCCCCTGAATCTCTGGAAAAAATATAAGAATGTTATTGCTTCAGTGAAAAATTATGTTTAAAAATTACATTAATCTGAATTGATCATGTGAGGTATAACTTACTGTCAGAAATCAAACAATATAAAACTCCACTTAAATTGCTTTAAGATCAATTACTAAAATGTTTCACTGTGCATTTATATACTAAGAACTCTCATCATTCATAATTTGAAAACATTACCAAGGCAAAATTCAGAAATGTAAAAGAAGTGATAGAATTTAGTGAGACTTACATGAAGAACTCATCATAGTGATTATGAATGTAGCCTTCAAAAGAAAGACTGGAGAGTGATCTATAAGTTATAGAGGGGCCGGAGATTTCGCTCAGTGGTTCGGTGGCCTGCCTTGCAAGCGCAAGGACCTGAGTTCAATCCCCGGTACCAAAATAATATATGTGTGTGTGTGTGTGTGTGTGTGTGTTATAGAATGACTTTCATGATATACTTCAGTTGAAAAAATGAAAACAGAAAGTAAATTGCCATGTACTATGTACTGTATGAACATATATATATATATATATATATATATATATATATATATGTACGTACACGTAAGCAAAGAAATCGAAATGTCAATAAGGGTTTTCTTAGGTCAGAGGTAGGCAAGATATGGCCTGTGAATCAAATCTCAGACACTGTTTTGTAGATGAAGTTTCACAGAAACATATTCTAAGCTTCTTGCTTTACATATTATCTATGACTTCCTAAGTAGTTTGATGGCGATGATAAATTATTTCAACAGAAGCCACATGGTATGCAGTACAGATATTTACTATCTGGTCTTTGGCAGAAAAATATGTAGACTCTTGTTCTATGTGATGAGATTACCCATTGTTTTCTTCTTTTTTCCCCCTTATCTCCTCAGTTTTCTAAAATTCACCAACATTACATTTACATTTCTAAGAACTATATTTAAAATAAAAATTTAAAAAGGAAAAGAAAAAGAGCCACAAGATCCTAGTTTCAATGTCACAGAAGTGAGAGAAAGGAGGAAGAGAAAGTATGCAGTCTTGGCTGACAAGGAAGAGGGTATTACAAGGGAGGGAGGAGCCTAAGGAAGCTCAGTACCATGACAACCAGCGTGATTTTGATGGAGAAATTTGAGTCTCTCTCTAACTTTCCATAGTTCCAAACCCCAAATATATTTGCATAGGTATAGTGTACTTGTTCTACCAGTATACAAGTCAGTGCCTTAGAGCTGCTTCCTCTGGTCAATCGATACTTTTAAATCCTCTTTATATAAAAAATCTGCAATTACTGCTAACATTTCTTGAGCAATTCCAATGTACCTCACAAACAATGAATGGAGTATTTTTGTTACTGCTCTTGTAATCCTTAACACACTTCCATGACATGTAGATATCAATATCTCTATTGTGCAATTATGCATTATACAAAGTATCACTATACTGAAATGGCAGGGGTTATTTTCTCAAGAATGTTATTTTTTAATCTTTCAACGAAAGCAGAAAAATACAGATTTTTTTTTTATGTGGTGGCTTTTGTTTCTAAAACCTTTCAAGCAATTCCTTCTTCCTTCACCTTCTTCCTTTATTGAACACTGTGCAAGATTTCACCACAGAGGGCCTGGGATTTAGCTCAATGGTTCTACCACCTGCGTCACAAGTACAAGGTCCTCAGTTCGATCCCCAGTGCCACAAGAAAAAAAGATTTCATCATAAGCCAAATCTGAGATGGGCTAGAGCTGGTCAAGGGCTCCCAGTTCAAAGACGCTACATTAAGAACTGTTTCATTGAACACATTTCTCTTGCTCTCCTGAGTTGTCTTCCCCAGGCCCCAATCACCCTCTGCTATGTAAACTGCCCCCCAACCAGCCCTATTTCAGCTACATCCCAATGTTACGTGCTGTCTGTCAAATGAATGAACGAAACTTTCACAATCAGAGTTATGAAGTTGATGAAAATGGACCCTTCAGTAGCAGGACCCATGGATACAGAAGAAGCCTCTTTTCAGGGCTTTGGATTAAAAACAACAGTCGCCACCCTGTGTGGGAGACTGCAATGATGATTATGCCCAAAGCAGGCTATAAGCAGTGCAGGCTGTAAAGAGTTAACCCAATTGGCTTGGTTATGGAAGTGAGTCTGACCGAAGCCTATGTGCCAAGATCAGAGTAACTCACACCCAAATTCTGTTTCCACAACTAAAAACTTATTAGAAGAACAATGTCCTAATTACAACCATATTTTGTCTATTCTGTTCCTAATTCGAGAATGCTTTGTCTCATCTTTTTACAAGTCTTGCTCACATTATTTTCCATAGAAACAGCAAGACTGTGCATCCTCACACTTAGTACTGCTCTGGCACACAGCTCGCCCTTAACGCAACTGATTACTAATAACAATCAGTGGCCCGGGCTGGACAGCGCCTTTGTCAGTTGGGCCAGCACTGGTCGTCTTGGTATTCTGCTTCTGTCGCTCTTAGTTGTGTCTTTTACTTTTTTGCTCAGGCCTGTGTCATACACTGGGCAGGAGACTGCAGCCTATTGAAGAGGTTTCCGGTAACATTTCAGGGGTCCCCAGTAACTCTGAACCTCTGCACAGGAAGAGCCATGAGTGTTTCATTTGTATGGACCCCATCCCTTTAGCTCCTTCTAACGTGAGTTCAACCAATTTCACTCCCTTTTCTCCTCTTCTCCCCCTATGATTCCTTTAGTTGTACAAAGACAGGGTTTCATTAAAGGAGGAGCCATTCATTGTTTACTCAGTGCTGAGCACAAATTCCTGGATAGCTGATCAGTGGACTGTTCTATATGGGCACATGCTCAGCAGGATCATCCCCCTTCTATGGCCAAAAGAGGGGAACAAGCACAAAAAGCTGAATAAATATTGTTATCAACCAGTGGCAGGGCATTTCGGTTTCTTTATGGGAATCCCATATCTAAAAACTGCATACTATATCCTGTGTACTTTGCTTTCTGCAGGGAAAGTAGGAAAACATCTTCTGTAAAATGGAAATAATATAAAACAAGTCAAATGTCATATTCAATTTAGCTGAAGAAAAAAAAGAGATTCTGTCCCAAGTCCCCACAAATACACAACTGAATAGAATTTAAATTGTTAGGGAGGTTCTTTAAAGCTCAGTACCTTCATCAGAGACAGTAAAATGGGGTGAAGAGGTTCCGCAACCAAAGGTACAAACTGGAATTCTAGCTTTGCTAAATAACTGTATAACTTTGAAGAAGTCATCTAACTTCTGTATGCACTGATTTCCAGCCAGTGTAGAACTGGGATGATGATTCCCACCTCAGGTTATGAAGTAAGAATGAATGAGTAATGCCCAGATGTAAAGCGTTTATGTGTATCTGACACACATTAAGAAAGGAGTAAGTGTTAACTCTTTCCCTCTAAACTACAATTCACTTCAATGTAGACTTCAGTAAGTGCCCAAACCCAGTGCAAATCCTGAAGACAAAGTGTATGTCAATGTATAACTCAAAGTTACATCCAAATATTTGCTATTACATAGCTATCAACAAAGATTTACCTGCACTACAAGTCTAAACATAAATACAATTTAAATAAAAGTAAGTACCACATCTCATCTATTTCTTTCACATAGAATTTTTATTTTTATAGGAAATGAAGTCACAAAACATTCTAAGTGAGGGAAAATGATGCTATCTTTTTACCTTCAAATACAACCAGACTCAATTTATGCCATAAAATTCCCTCAATAACTTTTGCTCACGGGTAAATCTTACCTTGCATTGTCCAGCAATTCAGCAAGAGCTCCAAAAAGGAAACCATGAGTTGTGCTGGCAAGAAAGAAAGGGGAAACATAAGGTTAAACCAGGTGTGTACTAGGGTAAAAGGTTGAAGATACCTTCTAACAAATGTTCTGCAATTCTGGACAGATAATCAATTCAAAAGTTCTGGGAACAACGTGTTCAGCACAGCCAAGATTCTGAAGTAGATGCCCTGCATCACAAAGCCAAGGTAAGTAGTTGGCCCAGATATTCTGCCTGCTTCTCATGAAATACAGACCAAAACAAGGTTTTCCTTTAAAGATTGGTTTGTGAGACTGATAAAATGGGCAAGAGAAAAAGGTAAATCCACAGTTACAGTCAAAGGACTGTACCTGCCTCTGGGTGGAATCTGAGGCCTTCAGTTTGATCTGAGTCACTTCTGTGGTTCCCTGGTTGTGCAGTTTACAGACAGCCTCCCATAGATGTTCCAGCCTTTATCGCCAAGCAAGCCAATCACCCAGTAAATTCCTTCCCATACCTCTCTACTTGTTCCGTGCCTCTAGGTAACTCTTAACTAAACAACTCACTTCATAAATATTATGTATGAAATATTTATACATTGCTTTATAAAGAGGTATTCAAGAACTTTTTCCCAAGCTAGCTGTAGTGGCACACTCTTGTGATCCCAACACTCAGAAGCCTGAGGCTGGGAGACAGCTGTTAGTTCAAAGCTAGACTGAGCTAATAGTGCGATCCTGACTCAAAAAAAAAAAAAAGAAAAGAAAAAAATAACTTTTTCTCAAAGAATTTCTCATTCAATTATTTTTTTTCACTGAGTTTATTGATACATTTTAGGTACACAGTACAGTTGCATTCATCATTGGCATCTTGTACCTTTACATGACAGGTCTTGGTTCTCATTTTTTTCCCTTGTCCCTGCCCTCCCTTCAACCCCTCCTCCCCTCCCCATTTACAAACACTTTATTTCCATTTTTTCATTTTCTCATATTTTTTTCTTTTCTCTTATTACCTTTCCCCTACCCTTCCCACTTTCTCTACACCTTTAGCCCTTTTCTTCCTATTTCACATTGTCAATTATCTCATTAGAATCTTATGTACTATTATAGTTTTTCACACCAGAGAAACTATTCGGTATTTATACATGTGTGACTTATTTATTTCACTTAGGAGTATATCCTCAATATGTACCCATTTTCCTATGAATGACTCTAGTTTCTCATTCTTTATGGCTGAGTAATATTCCATTTTATAGAAAAACCACATCTTCTTAATCCAGTTTCCAACTGATGCACAAATGGGCTGTTTCCAAGTTTTAGCTCTTACAAACTGTGTCAATTATTATTAACACCAGATTATTTCCAAAAATGTTGATTAAGACCAGAGTCTACTAAAAGCTCTTGGGGCTTTACCTATAGGCTCAGGACTCTGGCTGAGTAATATTCCATTTTATAGAAAAACCACATCTTCTTAATCCAGTTTCCAACTGATGCACAAATGGGCTGTTTCCAAGTTTTAGCTCTTACAAACTGTGTCAATTATTATTAACACCAGATTATTTCCAAAAATGTTGATTAAGACCAGAGTCTACTAAAAGCTCTTGGGGCTTTACCTATAGGCTCAGGACTCATTAGTGAGCCCATGTTTGCCCCATCCATCTGTATTTTTCTGTGGAACTTTTCCACTTCTGCCAAGCCTGCTTCTTCAATGGCTTATGGATTGGCTGTGATCACACTGTCCTGTTACCCCACAAGAGGTTCTTGGTGACAGCATCCTGTGGAAAGCCTTAAATACTTATGATGGGGGGGCTTGAAGGGTTTCAGGGTCGCGTGTTTTGCTTTTCATTTACTGATGTAACTATTTCAATCAGCAGCCTTATCACAGCATTAAGGGAACACTCAGTATGCAGTTTTCTTTTTATGTTTAGTAAATAAGTAACAGAAACAAGAGAGACTCATTTACCAAAAAACATCTGCTCATTTGTACAAAAAAAAATTGCATCAACTGCAGTATCTCAGGGTCTCCAAACACCTCAAGCCACAGGACAACACTTCAGCTCAAAATTTATTTAAATAGACAGAGTCCCATTTTTGAGATGCTAAACTTTGAACACAGATGCTAATGAAAGGTCTCTTGAGTCAGGTCAGCTTCTAAATTTGTAATTCAAAGAATCAAATCTACTAAAATGTTCTTTTTAAAAAAGATGTCCTTTGCTCAAAGGAAAGGTTGTATGAAAATCTAAAATACTATCAAGAGAAGTGAAAGAAACATGATTTACAAAATCAGCACTTTTTTTTTTCACTTGCGAGGCAGGTGGCGGCACCGAGCTAAATTCCCAGCCCTCAGAATTAGCACTTTAAACCACAAGCCTTTCTAGTAAATTTTAAATTTGTATCTTGAATGATTTAGTATACAAAAATTAAATGTATAAATAATCCTTTCAGAAAGTGCAATAATTGTGACCAATAATTCCATGAGTTTCCATACTAATTCATTCAAAAGGCTTTGGGGGGGATTGTTTTGTTTTTCAGTATAGGGCTCAAACTCAGGACCTTGCACTTACAAGGCAGGCCGCAGCCCAGAGTTAATTCCCCAGCCAGTCTAAGAAGTTCTGATCTTGTACCTGTTTGCATAGACAGGGTCTCCACCATCTTGGCACTCTAGCTGGTGTGATGACACATGACAAACATTCAAGTAAATATGTAAAGATAACCTTACAAATCATGGTTAAGTGTCGTCTTCATAGTGGTGCTGGGAAACACTAACTGGGCAGGGTGGTCAGGGAAAGCGTCTCTGATAGAAGACATTTAAATTGACCTCTGAAGGATGAGAACTCAGTCTTTTTCAGGGCCCTGGTAGAATCCTGCCAAAAAGATCAAGACATGCAAAGATCCAAGCAGAAAAGAGCTAAGGAAACCACTGTGCTCAGCTAATGAGGAGAGCAGGCTGAGTAGAAAGCAGGGCTGGTCAGGAAGAGTTTCCCACCCCAGGGACAGGATCTAAGTGGCCTCCATGAAACCAGAAACTGCTATCCTGTCTTAAGAAGAGGGTCGTGTCTGGTTTGATTTTTAAAACCCCACCCTGGTAGCTTTCAAGAACATGGACCAGTCAGGAGTCAGAATGACAAGCCTGGAGCCCAGCTCAGTCAGTGTGGAGGGTGCTCTTCCGACAGACAGGAGGCAATAGCATGGACTAATGTCAGTGGCTGACGATGGAGATGGTGAGAAAAGATTGCAAGTAAGACATTCAGAGAGATCATGCACTAAATGGGCTGAATATGGCCTGAAGCAAAGGGAGCATTTAAAAAAAAAAATCAATCCTCTCCCTAGGCACTGAAATCTCTAACCAGCCTCTACCTGGGGAGTTGACCAGACATTAGTTTCTCTCTGATTTTGTGCTGCTTCGTGGGCCAGCGAAGTGGGTGGCTTTGGGGAGCAGGAGGCTGGGATGTAACATCAGGAGAAGTTACATGGAGTTGAGCTGAGGAAGTTTTCCAAGGTAAAATTCACATTTCTTCCAATATTGGACTTCTAAGTTTTTCTTAAACTTACTCAGAACTGCTACTTTTGTTTCCCATCTTGGTCACCTTTTGACTCTTTGTTCCTCCCTTTCCATCTTGAAATCAGTCTTCACTGAGACATATAAACTAAATACCTGCAGAATAGTGGCTGTTTTTACTCTGTTATCTTAAAATTGCACCCTATGTCCCACACAGCAAAGCTGGCTTTCCCTCCATTTCCATGGCTTCAAATACTGTACTTTCAATGCATCAGTTGGTACTTTCTGTAAATACAAATTACTGAAAGATTCCAAAGCACTGACATACCACAGTGAACTCAGCATTCACTGCTATATGTGCTGCACCAGACGTGACAAACGATGGAGAAAGAGCTCTGTTATCTGGCCCAGCCACAGAAGCATAGTAGTCCCCCGTCCCCATCCAGTTTCACTTTCTGCAGCCTGAGTTACCCTTTATCAACATGGTCCAAAATTAAATGGAAAGTTCCAGAATAAAGAGTTCATCAGTCAAGTTGCTCACCACTGAGTAGCATGATGAACTCTTTATCACCCCTTTTACAGTACGGTGTTAAAATGGTTCTATATTATTATTGTTCACATCTTCTGCCTAATTTATAATAAATCTTCACAATAGGTATGTATGTTTTATGTTCGTATTGGAAGAACTATGTAGATGCAGATAGTGTGGTACCAACCTACTTCAGTGTCCCCTGGGGGCCCAGGACAGAGCCCCAATGGACAGCGGTGGACTGTGGTACTTGAAAGGGCACCCGGGGACAAGCCCTAAAGGATGCAGGCCTGGCTGAGGAGAGAAAGGGCCTGGATAACAACGGAAACACGAGCTTCGAGGACACAGAGGTTACGTTCCCCGAAAGCCTCAGGAGACTAGAGAGGCTGAAACCAAGGAGTGCGGGTAACTTGAATCTATATAAACTATCAGCGTATGGGTCAGACTGAGGGTAAGAAGGAGGGACAGAAAGCGTAGGATCAACAAATCGTTTTGTTAAATAATAAATGTGGGGAAAAAATGAAAATGTTTTACGTACATGAGCCTGCTCCCCATGATGAATGTAATCATTTTGTACTGCAAATATCTAATAAAAAATTTAAAAAAAATTTTTTTTGTACCGGGGATCGAACTCGGGACCTTGTGCTTGCAAAGCAGGCGGCGGCACCACTGAGCTAAGCCCCCAGTCCCCAAAATTAAAATTTTTTAAAAATGATAAATGCGGGCGGGGCCTTCTTACCCCGTGATGTTAACTGAAGAGCACCAAAAGGGCTCAGTCTGGTCCAGAATGCAAACTTACTTTCTCATTGTTTTAAAAACACATACACAATATAAATAAATCCATAAATCGACCATACCAAGTTCATGTGTTTTCTTCTCTACTGGAGGCGAATGAGTCTTTCTCATTGCCTGGAGACCCCACCCCACTCCACTCCACCCCACCTGGACACTCACGAGTTGGCGTGGAGGAAATCCAGATGCAGCCAGGCCCGCTGCAGCGAAGCATACTTGTCGGCCATGTCCTCCTGCGCGACCCCAGCCACCTGAGCAGACTCACGAGGCCGACCCGCAACTCGTGCACGCCCACGCACGCAGCTCCGCACGCAGCCCCGAGCTCAGCCCGCACGCGCGCCCCCTGGCGGCCGTGGCTCCCAGCTCGTCCTGTGTTGTGGTCCCAGGTGCTGTATCTGGCCAGGTTCTCCAACCCTGGAGAATAAGCCACAGGGGCTAGTGTCCTTTTGAAAAGCTGAGGTTTGTATAGACTTCCCAGACAATTACTCCTCTCCTGCCCGCTTCAGTCCTCCTCAGCTGGAAAGATGTGGGATTCGAATTTGATGAAGAATGCGTTCACTCCCAAACACACAAGAAGGAGGCAAATCCTGATTACATGGCCAGGGAGAGCCATGAGGTAAATGAATCCTCTCACACGCCTGTGTTTCTAGTTTGATCATGATTTCTACATTTGGAGGAAAATAGGAAAAGAGATGAGCCAAAGAGATAACAAAAAAAGGACTAAAGACAATGGAACAAAATTTGACTTGTGAGTTCACCACAGCAGAGGTCCCTGCTTGGATGCATTAACATATTTTACCTGACTTTCAGCCATTTGATGCACTGCCCTGGCTCAAAAACTAGAAATTCCATAATGGTCCAAAAAGATAAAAGAAGGCAATTGGAACATGGGGAGGTTGGGGATAGACATGAGGAAAGGCTATGTAGGACAAGCTATCCAACTTCTGCTACTCTACTCACAAAACACTGAATTCTGATTAACCAAAAACCCAGTCTCACACAGGATTTGTCAACAATGCTGCATGCAAAAGTACTGATTGGGATGGGAACCTAGTTAACTTCCAAGCTTCCAAACTCTGATTCATAGTCCAGCAGTGATGGCAAAACTTTTAAAGTTTTTGGTGATGCAAACGGTCAGCTCTGGCACACACGCCATAAGTTTTTCTACCAGGGGCTAGGCGTATTTTACCTGGAAATTACAACAGTACAAAAATATTCAGGAAGGATTTTGCATGGTAGTCTTAAAAAGAAACATTTATTGAACAGGGAATGTGAACTAGATGTGTTCATTTCTGGGCATTATCCAGGCAATAAAGCTCTCAGAAAAAGGAAAAAAATGTTAAATTGGGAGTAGTCATTCTGTTTTAAAAGAAAAGAATTTATCAGCTACTACACTTATAGGAATCAGGAGAGGAACAAAGAATTTGAACGGCAACCCAAAGGGACAAGATGCTGTACTTTAATTTGAAGACTAGAAGTAAACAAAAACATTTCAAGTAATTTCCCTGTTTGTCTTTTTGTTTTAACACTGGTGGAGTTTTGGTAGCAAAATTCTCTTTACCAACCAACTTAGCTGTCTCTCCTTTTTTTTTCTTCCATACTTCAGAATATGGTATTTTATTTTTATTTTATGAGCAAGAAAAGCTTGACAGGACTTTTCCGGATTTATTTTACAATCCCAATTTTCAGCTGCTATTTCAGGCCAATTTCCTTTTAGGAGGGCACCAGAGCCACTGGCCTGTCATTAGTGAAGTCTGTAATACATAATTTCTACCAGAGGGAGGGACACGGTGATTACAGAGGCACTTCTAATAATCTGAGCAGAGCCTTCCTACAGTAAGTGGCCAGCCCCAAAGCTCCAGGCAGCGCTGCCCGGACAGACACTTAGAGGGAAATCCACCGGGTAATGTTAGAGAAGAGGCCTGAGAGTCACTCCACACAACCCCCAAAGCCATTTTCCCCTTCCTGGTTCAGCTCTGCAGGCCATGCGCCCATCACCATGCTGCACTCCTTCCGCTTCAAGGTATACTTTCGGGACACTTTGTTTTACACGCTTCCCTCAACCCTGAGTCCATATTCATTCTGCATTATTTCATGATAAAATTATTTTTTTAGATTAAATCTGCTCTTATTTCATAAGGATCAATTTTTACTTACATTCAAGTACAGGAAATGTCAGCACAAAACTAAAGCTGCTGTAGAAAGATTACAGATATTCCATGGAAACTTACATTTCTCTAAAAAACATAACCTTACATACTCCTAATTTTACAAATTGAGTGTTGAGAAATGTCTAAATAGTAAGCACAATTAAAATGTTTTATTTGTAAATTATGTACAGAATACACTTTATGCTATGATAAGGAGATAGGCAAGAAAGAAGAGACATCACCTTCCAACCATTGCTGTTCACTTTCCTGCAGGAGGGGATCATCTTTCTCTGACTCAAGTGTGCGATTCAGCTTAAATTTCCTAACTTAGGAAGGAGAATTTGTAGTTAAACCAAAAATATTCCTGCGCTGTTATCAGTTGGCTTATTTCCACTAAATAATTTTGAACCCTGCTAACTCAGAAGCTTTAAGAAATTTCTGGTAGAATTTTATAATGAAATTCTATAGTTGTTCAACCAAAAAGAAAGGTGTAGCCATCAAGAACAATGAGTTTAAGTATTTCAACCTAAAGAGATTGTGAAATGGCTACATAGAATAAGAATAATCTGAAATGTTTATTCTTTTTATTTTAATTAATCTAACAATAAAAAGCCATAGCTATCAAAAATGCCCTTAATCTAATGGTCATTATGGAAAATGCATCTTTGATAACTATCAAAATGAGACCTACTTACTGTAAAACTATCAAATGCATAAAACTTATTAATGGCTTTAGACTGGAGGGCAGGAGAATGGGGAAAAATAATAATCAAAATATATCATGTGTAAAAGTACTAATTCCCAATGATGAATGTGATCATACTGTATACCAAAAATGTACCAATAAACTTAATGAATAAAAAAAAAATGAAGGGCTTCATAGAACTACTGGTTGTCAAATACTTTCAGTGAATGGAGTTAAAGAATGCTGCAAATGCTACATGTACATTGTGATGATCTGTCAACATAGAAAATCCGCCCTTCTGCACTGAGTCCCAAAGTAGGTCAGATTATGCATGTGAAGATTTAGGTGTTTCTCCATCACTGTCTTCTTCCTCCTCCTCTTCACAATCCCCATCTGTTTGTTGCTCCAGTTCCCTTTTCTGATCATTTCAAAATCATTCCCATTCCCATTCCCACTGCTGTGTTGGGATCTGTCATTTTCCTTTCTGTCACTGTCTGTGTCTGAATGCCATTCTCCACCTAAGCCTTCCGTTCCATAACTTCCTGGTCCTACTTTTTCTTCATCTTTCTTTTACTCACTGTCTGACTTTTCTTCATTGCCAGACTTCTAATGTTTCTTTGGCTTCAGATTTTTCGTCTTTCTTTAAGTCTGCTTTTGGTCCTTTGTATTCATGTGTGTACAGAGGCCTATAGGAATCAATGCCCACATCAGCAGTTAGATTAGGCAAGAACCAAAAGCAGAGTGCCTTCCTCCAATTATAAGTCAAATTATGAGAAACAAAATTCAGCAAGCAACAGCAAAGAGAAGAATAGTGGCTACAAAACAGCCTGTGCCCACACTGAGGTAATAAACACCTTCTCTCATTTCTGTGGGCCAATGTGGGAAGAGGGTGGCTACTATTACTGCAATCACCAGAATTAATCCCATGACCAATGTTTTAATATGAACTGGGTCATAGATCCACACATAAACCTCATTGCCATCCAGAAAACCTTGACCATTGTGTGGCTCAAGTTTGAATTTTTTCTTAGTTTCCTTTTGTGGGGGAGTTCCCATAGTTTCTTCCTTTTTGGAGTCTTACTTTTCACCATCTTTTTTTTTCTTTTTTCTTTTTTGTCTTTTCTTCCTTTATATTTTCTTTCTTGCTCTTTTTATCCTCTTCTTTTCCACTTTCAGCTGTTCCTTTATCTTTTTCTTTCTTTATATCTTTACTATACTTCATTTTCATTACTTTAAATGCTCAGTGAAAAAACTGTTTGTTGAGAAGCCTGTTACATTAGTCAACCACAGGCTCCCCGTAAGCTTCCTCTCCTTTCTTGGCTTTTGCCCACTTTGAAGCCAAAAGGCAATCTACTGCTTTTGAAGCAATAAAATAATCAACCCAGTGACCCACCCATCATATTGGTGGATTTTGTTGGACAGTTGGATTGAAAATACTTAGCTGCAGCCTCCTCTTCTTTAGATCTGCTTTTTGTGCCACCTGTGTTCTGCCATGTTGGCGACTCCTGATAAAATTATTGACATAGTAACAAAGAGGGAAAATTCAAATGAGAATGCCATTTGATTGTCTTAAGGTAGGTCCTTATTTCAAGGGGAATTAATTCAGTCTAAGAGACTCTTCAGCTCTTATTAACGAAACATTTCAGGTTTGCACTGCATTTTTTTCCAGTCATAAATAAGATCTCAATAATGGATGCACATTGAGGTCATACTTTTAAGTGAAATATATAGGACACACATGTGTAAATACTGAATAGTTTCTCTGGTGTAGAAAAATTAAAAGTTTAAATAAAGATCAAAATGTATAATTGATAATGTGAACTAGGAAGAAAAAGTCTAAAGGAGTAGGGGAAGTGGGACAGGTAGGGGAAAGGAAAGAAGGAAAAAGAAAAAATATGAGAAAAGGAAAAAATGGAGATAAAGTCTTTGTAAATAGGAGAGGGTAGAAGGGTTGTAGGGAGGGCAGGGGAATGGGGAGAAAACAAGACCTAAGACACATCATGTAAAGGTACAAGATTCCAATGATGAATGTAACTGTATTGTATTCCTAAAATGTACCAAAAAACTTAATGAAAATAAATAAATAAGATCTCAAATCTTTCAAATTACACTTTACCCTTTCACTTAAAGGTAACTATTATATAAATTAACATTTTGTCACACTTGATAAACATGTTTAAACTCAATATAATATTTATAAGCATGAAAGACTGATGTTTTAAGCTATCAGTTATCCACAGTGGTTTGCCATATTCTAAGGACTGTTATTAAAAAGTGACATTGCATATTATAATAAATACAAAAAGAAGATCTATTAAATTATAAGGTGAAAAAAACAATAACTCTTAATTGAGAATAGTAAAATGTCTCTAAAAGCAACTTATATCCTTCTTGTTCATTTTCTTTCATGCATGCAAGACTGAATCTGGTCAGTATAGTATCATCTCTTCC